GCCATCCGCAGGGTGGGAGAAGCCAGCAAGTCTCTGCTGGCTGATTCTGTGAGTAAAGCCATATTAGTCCTGGTTCATGGTCATAGAACTAAAACCACTGAAACCGTCCTCAACAGTTGTATCAGATGATTGATGTATGGCAATTTGATAGTGTGTTTAGAGGCCTAATGAATAAAAACCTTAAACGATGTGGTTATTACACCACAGTGGGGCAAATCAACACTTTTCTAAGATATTTAATAGAATTTCTCTCAATTTTCACTCTTTTTTTAAGCAGGAATATGAACTATGTACTCTTTAGTTTCCGGCATTGTGCCCTCGTTGTGATGATTGCCGTTATAATACACACATTATTGGAGGTAAATTAAGTACCTTGATCCTGGACACTTACTGGCTCTTAAAAATGTGTCCTAAAAAAGGACAGCATTGGTTGGAGTTGCTAGCTGTGGCTCCCCTGTAGCTCCAGGGGATTCCCACTCCACTCCAGACCTTTCTTCTTCTTCTTCAAATCTGGTACAAAGAATCCGACTTCTTCTTCATGTGTTTGATGTAAAACAGCCTTTCTGTGCAGCAGTGAATGATCAGTGGTCCCTCATTTGAGAGGGACCTCAAAGGGAAATGAGAAAACACTGGATTTTCTGACTGTTCTCCTCCGGCTGCAGTTCCCCTCCAGCGGACGCAGTTTCCAGGAGGTCCAGGCCCAGCTCAACGAGGTGGCAGCCGGCCTGAACCAGTCAGCCAACGAGGTGGTCCAGTCCTCCAGAGGGACCACTCAGGACCTGGCCAGGGCCACCAGCAAGTTTGGAAACGACTTTAGCAACTTCCTGGAGGCTGGCGTTGACATGGCTGGAACATCCCATGTGAGTGTGACCAGAGGAGGCTCCAAAATACTGGACTCAGAAGTCAAAACATATGTGACCAAGTCATATAAAACAGAGACGAGATAAAGTACAAGATGTTTATTTTCAATTCATAACATTTGATTAGTTAAAATGATTGCATCCTCTTTAAAATACACCTTTGGACTATATCTAAAATCAGGTTCAACTATACCAAATTGTAAAAATCTCACTGCAAAGCAATTACACACAAAAAACCCAAATCACTAGCCAATTTCAATACAGGCCCAACAAATCTTAATATAGAGAAAAGCAAACAGTGGCCGGCTTTGTTGGCCACTTAGTGTTTGTTTCCTGTCCGACCCTTTCACACATAAAAGGATCACTGTTTCTTTTTAAAATGTTAGTCTCGTTTAAGCTGGCTCTGTTTTGTAGCATTGTTTTCTTTTTTTACATTTCTTATTTTTATTTAGTGAGAGCATTTCAGTACAGTGGTAGTTACTTTTAGGCCACTCACAATTATTTTTGTGTAATATACAAAGTTAAGTAAATTATATCTAATTACTTTGAACAAACTGGGGAAGATAGACATACATGAAAAGGCAAAAATGAATAAATAAAATGTCCTCCAGGCAGCTTTGAAGTAAAGTGTGGGAGATACATTAATCCTTAGATACAACAAAACATTCAAATAAAATAAAATGAATACCAGCATTGTCACCCGTTCCGTCTTTCAGTCTGTTCACACCAGCATATTTAACCCACTTGGCCCCCCTTTTAGTGAATAAGAGGGAGAAGGTGATCCTTTCCATAATGTAAATGTCATTTAATTACCCACTCCTGTACTTTGGGGAATCGGGGGCCGACCAGAGTCTTCTGAGGGCTTTTTTACCAGCCGTTATCAGAATATTAAATAGGTATTCATCAGCTTTCCTGACCTGTAAATCAAAATCTCCTAAAAATTATGTCCTAAGGTTGTGTAGCATTCGTTTCTGTTACGTTTCTCACCATCTTCCCCGTCTCCTCCAGTCTAAGGAGGACCAAACCCAGGTGGTGTCCAACCTGAAAACCATCTCCATGTCATCAAGCAAGCTTCTGCTGGCAGCCAAAGCCCTGTCCACCGACCCCAGCTCCCCCAACATGAAGAACCAGCTAGCAGCCGCCGCCCGGTAAGACCCCCCCCACACCCTCCTGGACTTCAGCCGGCCCTTCCTTTCTGAGCCTCTTTGTGTCCGTAGGTCAGTGACAGACAGCATCAACCAGCTCATCACCATGTGCACGCAGCAGGCTCCGGGCCAGAAGGAGTGTGACAACGCCCTGAGAGAGCTGGAGGTAAGGCTCCGCCTGCTGCCTGACCCGAGACCTGCAGGGCTCTGGTACAGGTGGAGCTCACGCTGGCTGTCTTTGTGTGTGTGCAGTCGGTCAGGGGGATGCTGGAGAACCCCACCGAGGCCATCAGCGACCAGTCCTTCTTTGAGTCCATCGACAGTGTGATGGAGAACTCTAAGGTAGCTCTTCTCTTTGTTCCCCAGCCGTCCCCCTAAATGTAACAGACCCTCCACAGACCAGAGGCACACCAGGGCTTCAGCTGCTCCATTTTAGTGATGCCTTCATGAAAACAATGCTCATTTATTTACTTACTATTATTTATTTACTACAGGTCATTTATAACACGTTTACATCCTGTTCAAACATGACTTTTTCAGTGAATCATGTAATTCTATTCATATACACTCGTATTCAAACAATAATTTGTAATTACCGTGCGTTTGTTTAATAAAATATCGACTTATACCCGGAGTTCTACTAAACACTGCTTACCTCCAGCTGGAGTTTCAAACAAATCACAATTAAAAAAAAAGGAAAATAAATATTTTGGTGAGAATTCATTCTCTGTTCTGTGCTGTGGATAGAGGCTGGAGAGTAGTTTTCATACTATTCTATTTTATGCTTCTTATTTGCCACGACATAATGCAACATATGAGCAAATCTAGGACTATTTATAGAGGCAAACTGGCTCACTGAGTTAAACTATAACAACACATATAGGTCCACCACGTTCTCTGTGAAGCTTCGAAATCCTTAAAGAAACAAACTGGGCCTCTCTTGTGTTCCGTTGACAGGTCCTCGGTGAGTCCATGGCTGGTATTTCCCATCATGCCAAGAACTCCAACCTGCCAGAGTTCGGGGATTCAGTCAGTGCAGCCTCCAAAGCTCTGTGTGGTCTCACTGAGGCAGCTGCACAGGTAAGTTCCCACAGGCTCCCACAGGTTCCCACGGGTTCCCACAGGTTCCCACGGGTTCCCACAGGTTCCCACGGGTTCCCACAGGTTCCCACGGGTTCCCACGGGTTCCCACGGGTTCCCACGGGTTCCCACGGGTTCCCACTGGTTCCCACGGGTTCCCAGGGGTTCCCACGGGTTCCCACTCCGAGTCCACTCAAGTCCGTCTGGCTGCAGACTGCAGGAAGCCAAGGATGGATATCCAACTCCGCCCACATCCAAGTCGGCCATTTTGATTAGGTCACCAATAGGAAGATCCCAGGCAAGAAAATCGTAATGGCCTCATGGCAATATAGACATTAATTTAAAAATAGTTAAATTAATCTAAATTAACACTAAATTAAACATGTTAAATGGGTTTGTACAATAAGCCCAAACAAGTTTAACCAAAAATATTTATTTCTCACAATTATGAAGGGTGGAGGGTTAGGGTTAGGGTCAGGGGTTAGGGTTAGGGTCAGAGTTAGGGTTAGGGTTAGGGTTAGGGTTAGGGGTTGGGGTTAGGGTCAGGGTTAGGGTTAGGGTCAGAGTTAGGGTTAAGTTTAGGGTTATGGTTAGGGTAAAGGGTTAGGGTTAGGGGTCAGGGTTAGGGTGGAGGGTCAAGGTTAGGACATGGTTTTTCTTCCAATTTCGTATAGACAGTAAAGTTTGGTTTCCACCTGAGAAAGCTGCTAGTCACATGACCTAATCAAAATGTCCGACTTGGATGTGGGAGGAGTCTGACATCCAGCCGAGGCTCCTACAGGCTGCAGCCAGAGGCTACAGTCCACTCAGGAGCCAGAGGGGAAGCAGGAAGATGGCGAGGACAGGTGCTGACCGGTGGTGACCGGTGGTCTTCTGTGTCTCCAGGGTGCTTATCTGGTGGGGGTGTCGGACCCCAACAGCTCAGCTGGACAGAAGGGCCTGGTGGACCCCACTCAGTTTGCCCGCGCTAACCAGTCCATTCAGATGGCCTGCCAGAACCTGGTGGACCCGGCCTGCACCCAGTCTCAGGTACAAGCCCCCCCTCACCGCCCAAACGCCCGGGGGGGGGTTAGAAATGCATGAAAATGTCCAGTTTTGACCAGAATCGTATATTTGTGTGCCTAAATCGACTGGCGCTTTGCACAGAATACTACAGGACTTCCTAATTCTTTGTGATTTGCCTTGTGGGGGGGTTAGGGAAACACACACAGACACACAGGGAGCAGAACAACCAGCTCTGGAGACAAAATGTCCAAACCAAAGTACATCTTCACAGACGAACTGCAAAAAAAAATGTCCCACGTCCAGTCCTGGTTGGACAAGTAGGACAAAAGGGATCTAAATTTAGTATATAGATCCAAAAAGGATCTATACTTAGTGTAGATCCCTGTTGTTAGTTGAGTTTGTGTGGTTGTGAGACTGTTTCCTTTCTTCCATTCAGAGGGGTTTAGTTGAAGCTGTATTTTCTAATCCAGAAGAGGTCACATTTAGAACATTATTTGATTTTATTTCTGTATTTTAAAGGAGGGCTATCATTTAGTTCCTGGTTGTTACAGATTGTGTTTTACCACCAAAGTTCTTTTAGTCCCATTGAGTTCTAATAAAGCCTGTTCATGAACATCTGAGGTTCCTGTCTGGATCCGTCTGTAGTTTCACCGCCGGCCTCTGTTTTGGAGATTTCTAATGTAATGGGACACGTTTCTACCCAGGTGCTTTCTGCAGCTACCATCGTGGCCAAGCACACGTCTGCCCTGTGCAACGCCTGCCGCCTGGCCTCCTCCAAGACTCCCAACCCGGTGGCCAAGAGGCAGTTTGTCCAGTCCGCCAAAGAGGTGGCCAACACCACCGCCAACCTAGTCAAGTCCATAAAGGTTCGTTTTGCTAATGGTTCCTAGTCAATCCATACAGGTTTGTTTTGCTAATGGTTCCTAGTCAAATCCATAAAGGTTTGTTTTGCTAATGGTTCCTAGTCAAATCCATAAAGGTTTGTTTTGCTAATGGTTCCTAGTCGAATCCATAAAGGTTTTTTTTGCTAATGGTTCCTAGTCAAATCCATAAAGGTTTGTTTTGCTAATGGTTCCTAGTCAAATCCATAAAGGTTTGTTTTGCCAACCTTGTCAAATCCATAAAGGTTTGTTTAGCTAATGGTTCCAATCAACAGCATGAATCTGATAGTTTTCACAGATTTCTACCAAAAATGTGGAATAATGCTCTGTTTTGGGGCTGTAGTTTTATCACCATAACTTTGAAGGAAGAGATCCAGAAAAAAAGTAGAAATAAGCACAAGAGCATTGAGTTAGAACAGGAGTCTGTTGGCCTGTTTTAATACAGACATTCAGGTAAGTTTGCACTGGTGGTCCCAGCCTTGTAACGCTGGCCCCCTCTCCCAGGCTTTAGATGGAGCCTTCAATGAGGAGAACAGAGAGAAGTGCCGAGCTGCCACTGGTCCTCTGATAGAAGCTGTGGACAACCTGACTGCCTTTGCCTCCAACCCAGAGTTTGCCAGCATTCCTGCCCAGATCAGCCCCGAGGTTTGTCCTTTCCCTCCATTCACACATCCACTGTTACTCATACGATTACTCATCTTAATGAACAGAGCAGCTTTAAATTACAGTTCAATTCTAGATTTTTGTCCTGTCTTCAGCTCTCTTCTTATGGGTTTATTTATTAGTGCGCTCAGATATAAGGGAAGTGGGCATCTCAAGCTAACTTCATTTACTTTTTATGCAACTTTACAGAATAACAACACACCCCAAAAAGCCCAAAAGAGACACACACACACACGCATACACAAACACATACACACTCACACATGCACACATGCACACACGCATACAGATACACAAACAGAGACACACGCACACACACACACACACACACGCACACAGACACATGCACACACACACATACACAAACACACAAACACACTCACACATGCACACACACATACAGACACACAAACGGAGACACACACCCACACATACAGACAGACAGAAACAAACTTAAACACACAGAGACACATACAGATCACTGTGGTGACCACTGAACTGAGGGAGTTCTAAAACCGTCGGATAATTATAACAAAGCACGATACCTAAATAAAAAAGGAGAAACGCCACAGATACAGAGCAAAAAGACCAAGAAATAACTCAAAGCACGTCAGCCTGGTTAAGCCGGGGGTCATGACATTTCCCCAGAGCTCCATTTAATGACTAAAGGTTAAGAGTTGACCTTTAACCTTTAACAGGGGACACCACAGATAATCTGATTGATCCTCCACAGATACAGAGAATCATTATTATTATTATTAGATATCAGTTTATTGCTGAACAGAAGGGCTGATACAACTATGAAGACTTAATTCTATTGTTCTTATTGGTATTTATTTTTGTATCTGATTATTAATGAGCACTGAAAACCTTTCTGAAACAAACACAGTGCAGCTGAGGCCTTTTTCTCTTTATCCTCTGTGGTTTTTTTCCTCTCCTTAGGGCTACGCTGCCATGGAGCCCATACTGGCCGCAGCAAAGACCATGTTGGAGAGCTCCACCGGCCTAATCCAGACGGCCCGCTCCCTGGCTGTCAACCCCAAAGACCCCCCCAAATGGTCAGTGCTGGCCGGCCACTCCCGGACGGTGTCTGACTCCATCAAGAAGCTCATCACCAACATGAGGTGAGTTCTACTCCTGGAATAAACGATTATAAACGGGGAGCCTTTGTTTAAACACCTGAAATGAAGCATGGAGCTCCGTGTCTGGTTTCCTTTGTCATGTTTTCTGTCCCATTCAGTTTCACTGACCACAGAAAGGCTGTGTTTCTGTTTATGTAGTTATTTTTACAGTCTTTTTTACAAACAGATAAACATACAAATCAATGAAATCCAGAAAATTCTAAACACACATCAGTTTCTGTCCCTTTTTGAAATTTATTTTTATTCATTTATTTATTTTTATTAGTCTTTTTGACAGATAGATAAACATAAAGAAAAGAAAAACAAAAGAAAAAATCATGTGCAAACTAATTCTTAAAAGAACTGAAATAAGATTTTTCATTTTAATTTGATCTTTTGTTTTACTGGCCACAAGAAATCAAGGACACTCATTTACTTAAGAAGGGGTTACTTATAGTATTTTCCATTGAATCTGTTCAGAGAAAAGGCTCCTGGCCAACGGGAGTGTGATGATGCCATAGAAGTGCTGAACGGCTGCATCAGAGAAGTGGATCAGGCCTCGCTGGCTGCCATCAGCCAGCATCTAACACCCAGAGAGGACATCTCCATGGAGGTAACACTCTGGATTATTCTGCTCCTGTACGGTTACTATTATTGAAAATGACTTGAAAATGCATTATTTGAATTTGTGAGTAGTGAATTAACTATATGGAAGTGAGAAATAATGGATATAGATAAAAGAAATGATTCGGATGATTTCTGATGACATCTATAAGATTGTCTCCAATGTTTAAATAAGCTATTTTTGTTTTGTTTTGTGGACCCCTGGAAGACGAGCTCATCCCACTCCTGGTGACAGCTAATGGGGATGTTTTTTAACAATAAACACACTTAGCTGATCCAGGCTGTCTGCGGGTGTTACTCAATGGGAGGAAATCTTCAGTCGACTTTTTGTTTGGAAACGTTAGGAAATGTCTGGACATCTGTAAATCACTCATCTTTTACAGAAGATTAGCAGCTTTATGCTAACAGCTACAGTCTGAATACACACACGTGTCAAACCCTAAGTCTGAGCTGAGAGTGATTGGGTGGATTTTCTGCCTCTGCTTGTGTGGTAGACTCTTCATGAGCAGATGGCGGCTTCAGTCCATGAGATCAGCAACCTGATCGATCCTGTGGCTGTGGCCGCTCGGTCCGAGGCCTCCCAGTTGGGACACAAGGTAAAGCCTGGTGCAACATGGGAAAGTCCAGAAGGCTGACGGGCCTCTCCAGCTCCAGCTCAGCCTGTATTTGTCTAGATACAGTGTTTGGTTTTTCCTTAATGCATCGTTTGCTCTACACATTAAAGGTGTCTCAGATGGCTAGCTACTTTGAGCCCCTGATTATGGCAGCTATTGGAACAGCGTCCAAGATCCTCAGCAGCCAACAGCAGATGGCCGTCTTAGACCAGACCAAGACTCTGGCAGAGTCCGCTCTGCAGATGCTCTACACCGCCAAAGAGGCTGGAGGAAACCCCAAGGTACAGAAGCTAATGGGGATATCTGAAACCTGACCAACTCTTAGTCCCCTGTGACCCACAGAAATCAAAGTGGAGCCTTTTTCCAGCATTACAGATTGTTAGTCGTTTTTAATGCCGGTTAGCCTGATTCTTTAGCTGGAAGCCGGAGAATAAACCAGAATAGATCAAGAGTACAAATATGTGTGGGCACAGCCAGAGAGTTTAACTAAAAAGTATGATTCTAAAAGGAATAAAATAGTTATAAAAGGAATAAGCCAATCGGTCATTTACATGGATTAAGCTATAACATATTATGCTAAAATAAGTTACTAGAGTCCAGTTCTGCCTCCATTTATCTGCTTACTACAGTCTGTTGGATTCATCTTCATGTGGATTTAAAGACATTTACATTAGTGGAAAAAATTGCAGGGGGGGAATATAAAAAAAAAAGTCTAATCAACCAAAGCTTTCGCGACCCTCATGCAGTACCTCCGGACCCCCTGTTATAACATACTATGCTAAAGTGAGTAACTATACTACTCTAGCATACTGTAACATGATCACGAAAAGCATCAGTCGTCAGACTGTGAACAGAGAAAACTATTATTATCCAATGGGCTTGTGACTCCCAGCTTTAGTCCCTTAGCTCCTGTGTTTTCTGGTGTTTTTTGTGTTGACTATTGTGTGTTTCCTGTCCCCAGGCCGCACACATGCAGGACGCTCTGGAGGAGTCGGTGCAGATGATGAAGGAGGCGGTGGACGACCTGGGGGCCACGCTGGCCGAGGCCGCCGGGGCGGCGGGCGCTGTGGGGGGCATGGTGGACTCCATCAATGATGCCATCAACAAAATGGAGGATGCCCCTCAACTGGAACCTGAAGGCACCTTTGTGGACTACCAGACTACGATGGTCAAGACAGCCAAGGCCATCGCTGTCACTGTGCAGGAAATGGTAGGAAACGGATCATCTGACAAAGTTTGAGTCTTTTTTCATGTTCTGATATGATATTTCTGTGCTTTTTTTAATCTAACTGAAATGGTTTCCCTTGTGTACGATCCATAATCTCTCTGCTACGTTCCAACTTCATCACATACAGCTTTTAGGATTTGCTGCTTCAGTAGTTTGATCAAGTCATCTAAAACAGTAGCTCCAATTTTCATCAATCCTAATTTCATTTTGGCTGGTTTGTGGGTTTTTATTTGACTTTACCAGCTGGTTTGTGTTTTTTAAGTGTGATGTCAGAACTCTGACGCTCTACAGATTTGACTGAAGCTCACTGTCTCTCTTTAGGTGACCAAGTCCAACACCAACCCAGACGACCTCGGAGGACTGGCCAACCAGCTGACAAATAATTTTGGAAATCTGGCCGAAGAGGCTAAATACGCCGCTCTCACAGCAGAGAATGATGAAGTAGCTCAAATTTATCAGCTCTTCCCTAGAAGCCACGTCACATTCACCAGCTCCCTGAACTCCCACTGACTCCTCTGTGTTGCCCCCTTTCTTTTTCTCCAGATCGGTACTCAGATTAAGAAGCAGGTGGGAGAGCTGGGCTTCACCTGCACGGGTTTGGTGACCAAAGCCGGAGCTCTGCAGTGCAGCCCCAACGACACCTTCACCAAGAAAGAGCTGATCGAAAGTGCCCGCAAAGTCTCTGAGAAGGTCTGACGCCAAGCAGGATTTATAGGGCAACTGTTTTTGTGATGTGTTACCCAAAAAGGGAGGAAAGAGGGAGTGGTTGGACCAATTTATGAGATGTTTTTCATGTTTCAGCTATTTGAACAGGCAAGGCAAGTTCACTTTACAGCACATTTTGTGTACAAGACAATTCAAAGCCCTTCACGGAGAATTTAAAAGCAGAAAAACAAAAGAAAGGGAATAAAAATTTGAAAGATAAAAAGTGAAGGGTGCAGATAAAATCCATCCAGTTTAACAGTTGAACGGATATTTTCATCTGGATTTAAACATTATCAGAGTTGGGTTCTGTCTCACGTCGTCAGGAAGACTGATCCAGGTTTTAGGAGCCTGGAGCTGAAATGAAGCTTCAGCTTCATTTCAGATGAATAAACCTTATTCAACTTCATTAAAGCCTGTCTAAGACCAGACAAACAGACACATAGACACAAGACTGTGGGCAGCTCCTCTGGAGGCTCCTTTTTCCTTCAGAAAAAAAGATACATGGGGAAAGTGGTTGCGGGAAGAGGGGGAAAAAAGGCCCAGTAAAATAAAGGACAAATGTGGAGGGAGGGACGGGGTTTGGAAGGAAGGGGGGGAGGTAACAGTGAGTCCAAGCGGAGCATGAAGTCTGGACTTCTGTGTGAGCAAGCCGGAGGTCCACATTTAACATGTCCATCTTTGTGGATTCTGTCTTCCCCTGGCAGGTTTCCCACGTGCTGGCGTCCCTCCAGGCCGGGAACCGGGGCACCCAGGCCTGCATCACCGCTGCCAGCGCCGTGTCCGGCATCATCGCAGACCTGGACACCACCATCATGTTCGCCACCGCCGGCACTCTGAACAGGGAGAACGCAGAGACCTTCGCTGACCACAGGTACCCGCTCAGGCCAAAGGCCTCCTCCTAAAGAGACCCCAGTAAAGTCTCCATCAGAGGCCTGCATCAGAGCAAAAAGTTATTTAGAGAGGGAGAGGGAAAGAGAGAGAGAGACAGGGCGAGAGAGGGAGAGCGGGCAAGAGAGGGAGAGAGGGTGGGAGAGAGAGATAGAGGGACAAGAGAGAGAGACAGAGAGAGGGCAAGAGAAAGAGAGAGACAAAAGGACAAGAGAGAGGGAGGGCAAGAGAGAGAGAGAGAGAAGGGTAGGGTAGGGAGAGAGGGTGGGGGGAGAGAGAGAGAGAGAGAGAGAAGGACAGGGGAGGGGGGGGGGGGGGGGAGGAATGGTAATAGAGGGAGAAGGACAAGAGAAAGAGGGAGGGCAAGAGAGAAAGAGAGGGAGAGAGGCCAAGAGAGGGAGAGTGAGAGAAGGACAACAGAGAGAGAGAGAGTGAGAGAGGGAAGGACAGAGGGATTCAGCCTCCACAGTAACAGACAGACTGGATAAAACTGGTCCAGATATTGACAGTAATGATAATGACAGCAGTAAACTTTCCATTAGTAATTTCCATTAGTTGAGACGGAAATCAACAAGCAGCCTTTCCAGAAAGCTAAAGCTGAGCTCGTCCCCTCACAGGGAATGCATCCTGAAGACCGCCAAGGCTCTGGTGGAGGACACCAAGCTGCTGGTGTCTGGAGCCGGGGCCAGCCAGGAGAAGCTGGCCCAGGCTGCCCAGTCCTCCGTGTCCACCATCACCAGGCTGGCCGATGTGGTCAAACAGGGGGCAGCCAGCCTCGGGTCCGAGGACCCGGAGACCCAGGTAGGAACACCGGGAGGCTGCATGTCTCACTCAGGATTTGTCCCTGACCTTTGCCAAACTGTTAAGAAAGGGAAAGGCCAGTTTATCTGTACAGCACGTTTCCTGTACAAGACAATGCAAAGTGCTTCACAAAGAATTTAAAAGCAGAAAGAAAGAAAAAGAATAAAAAATTAGAAGGATAAAAAGTGAAGGGAGCAGATTCAATCCATCCAGTTTAACACCTTAACAGTTAAACAGATGTTTTCATCTGGATTTAAACATCCAGAGTCGGGTTCTGTCTCACGTCTTCAGGAAGACTGATCCAGGTTTTAGGAGCCTGGAGCTGAAATGAAGCTTCAGCTGGTTTAGTTCTGACTCTGGGCCCCAGCAGGAGACCAGAACCTGGTTTAGTTCTGACTCTGGGCCCCAGCAGGAGACCAGAACCTGGTTTAGTTCTGACTCTGGGCCCCAGCAGGAGACCAGAACCTGGTTTAGTTCTGACTCTGGACCCCATCAGGAGACCAGAACCTGGTTTAGTTCTGACTCTGGACCCCATCAGGA